GTCGTGCACCATTAAGGTGACGACATTGGTAGCTGGCGACGGTGAGTCACGGCTAGACCTGGGAAAATAGGTTTGGACCTGCGGGTCGACCCTAAATCCGGATAAAAAATATAGGGTGTGGGTCTTTAATATTAGACCCGTTTTTCTTCTACTCGTACCGGCCCAACCCATTTTGCCAAGGGGTCAAGCGAGTACACCCGGGCACCCGTTTGCTTTTCCCCTTTCATTTTGCAGGGATACCCTAATTCTAAATTGGGGTTTGACCATGTTTTTGCCCCAAATCGCAAAATCCCTAACTCTCTCAAATTCATCGTCGCTGCTTCTCCTGTCTTCATTTCTCATCAGCATAAAAGGACTCTGTAAATAAATCCAACAACAAAACAAAAACATAAATCACACAAATTCAAAAATCCAAAGGAAAAATTCAATCAAACAAAAACAAAATCCAAAAACCCAAAGGAAAATTCAATCAGACCTGTCCAGGTAAAGTGCCATCAAGATCCTTCAAAGTTGGACGAAACTTGGCATAAGCCAATTGGTTCTCTTCCCTTTAGAGCTCGTCTAGTATGAAACACAGGGTCTTCTGTGCGTCGTTCGTCACTGTTGTTTTGGCAAGGTGTCATTTGTTCATTGGCAGATGATTAACTATATCTGGTGATGCGGTGGAGGATGCATTCGGCCTGCGGGGCAGCAGGTGCATGTGGGACGTGGGGAGTGGAAGTGGAGGTGATTAAGTCAGAGTTAGGTTTTGGTTGGATGAAGACTGAAGAGTGGAGAATCTGCGGCAGAAGTTTCAAAATCTAAACAGTAAAAGAGGATACTCAGATCTGTTCAATCTTTGCCTGTTGCAGAGTCAATTCATTCTCAAACTGTTGCTTTTCTTCTATAAATTTTTTCTTTTTTCAGATTTTTTATGTGGGTTTATTTGGTTGATGAGGAATGAAAGGACAATCAATAAAGTTTTTAATCTTTTTCTTTGTTAGGTTCGGGTTTCTGTTTGGCTGGTGAGAAACCTTGGGAGAAACGTGGGTTTTCTTTTTCTGTTGGTTGGTGACAAATTTTGCTCAAAAATGAAGATTTTAGGAAGATTTGGGGTTGTAACTGCAAAAATCTAAAACTGGAGTGAACAGTACGGGCACCCTCGGTCCACCCATCTCGTATAGGGTAGGGTGCGGGTCCAAATATTAGGCCCGTTTAAATCGACCAGTTTTGGGCCCGTACCCGTAAGACCCACCCGTGAGACTCGACCCGCACCGGCCCACCCCCATTTTGCCAAGTCTAGTCACGGCCTAGGGTGGCTAGGGGTATTTTATTAACTTTTAAACTTTTTGTGATTGGGGTGTTTTAGCTAATTTCTCAAATATAGGGGTTGGGTAATTGTTATTGGTAGACATTTGAGGACAATTGTGTCCAAAATAATTTTTAATTAAGGTAAAATGGGTAGAAAAACAAATTACTTCGGTAATATTTTAATAACACCCCCTAATAAGATAATAAGATTACCCCCCACATTACCACATAAACATTATTTACAATAAAAGATTACTGTAATATTTATTATTTGTAAACTAAATATCGGAATCTTACAAAATAAACAAACATTATCTCGTTATCTTATATCCTCTAATCCAAACGCCCTAAGGTGGGCTTCAACTCTCGGTGCAATACATTTGTTCACTATTATTCATAATTTATCTAGAGGGCTGCGACATACACATTGGTTAATTGCATTAGTGGGAACATTTTATTCATTATCAATGATGTTGACATAGGTTAAAAAAAACACTTAAAAAGGGTAAAATTTAATAGGAAACTTATCAATTAAAACTTGTAATTAAATGTAAATTTATATAGTTAATATATAAAAAATGGGTTGTGTTAAAAGAACTTTTCAAAGATAAAATCACAAAAATATAACATTCGGGTATTTTGAATAATATTTAAATGAGTTGAATATTTATAAAAAAAATTCTCAAATTGTAATTATTTTTCATATGTATTATCAATTTATCACATTAAGCACCGATACCTAACCACATTTACACTCCTAATAGTATTTGTTGACTTAATATCAAACATTTGTGGGTAAAGTATTAACAGCCACGTGGCTTCATCCGAACCCTTGGATTGAAATCCTTCTTCAAATAACATTTCAACTTCTCTCTTAAACTCTAAATAATTAACATTTTCCCCCAGAAACAATAAAACTCTCAAATCTCAATCCATTGTCTCGTTGACATGTCTTCCTCCGGCGGAATTGTGGCGCCGCCGCCGCGGCACCACCACCACCTTCTCAGCCACAGATGTATTACTGTCACCAGTGCGAGCGCACGGTCAGGATCACTCCGTTTTCTTCCATAGAACTCGCTTGCCCCACTTGCAACGGTGGCTTCCTTGAAGAACTCGAAACTAACCCTAACCCTAACCCTAATTCCAATTCTAACCATCCTTTCGATGCCTTCTTCTTAGACGATCTCAATACCTGTTGGGTATGGGTCCCACTCCGACTCGGCCGTCTTTCACAGACTCGGCCGAATTCAACCCTTCGTTTTTCTCCAAAACTATCTTCAAACCCGAGGGCAGGTGGCGCGAATATCCAGTTCGTCATCGAGAACAGCTCCTAATGGCCCCACCGGTGAGGGGCGGCGTTTCGGCTCCCAGCGAATCTCGGGGATTACTTCATCGGGCCGGGCCTCGAGCAGTTGATCCAACAATTGGCGGAGAACGATCCCAATCGATATGGGACGCCTCCGGCTTCGAAATTGGCCATTGAGGGGCTGCCAAATATCAAGATATCGGAGGATTTGATGGGCTCGGAATCATCTCAGTGTGCTGTGTGTAAGGATAGTTTTGGTTGAATGAAGTTGCGAAACAGATGCCTTGTAGCATATATATCACTCAGATTGTATTATGCCTTGGCTTGAGTTGCATAATTCGTGTCCTGTTTGTCGGTATGAGTTGCCTACGGATGATCTTGATTATGAGCAAAGGCGTAATGGGAATATATAACAATAATATCAGTAACAATGATAGTACGTTAATAATAACAATAATCAGGTTTTAGTGTTGGGTTTGGTGGTGGGATGTCTGCTGCTGGTGATGGTGATGGTGGTGGTGGTGCGTGGTGATGGTGGGAGTGTGGAGAATCCTGAGACTCAAGGACCATGGAGCGGAGGTTTAGTATCTCCTTGCCGTGGCCATTTAGGGCGTTTGGTTCGCCTGCAGGGACAAGCAGTGGGAGTGGGAACATGTGGAGATTCAAACCCAGGGAATAGGGGTTCAGAGCCCAGACAAGAAGATCTTGATTAAGAAGGATCTTTGGTATTGTGCTTTTAACCTCTTAATTTGCTTGCTCTATTTTATTATTTTGTTTGGTTTTGGTTAGTTTGTTCTATGTGATTCGCTGTGGGTTTTCTGTTCTCTATGTAAATATGGTTCCATTCTTTTTTATTTTGGAATGTTGGTGGGTAGAGAGTGATACTGTAGTTTTTTATTTTGCTTGTGTGAGGATACTTCATAAATTTGCGGCTAAGTGTTCGCCTGTGATTGAGTATTATATTTGAGTTCTTTGGGGCAATTCTCTTGTGATTATGCATTTTTTTGAAGTTGTGTATGGTATGTCTTTCTCTCTTAAAATAAACAATTCCATTTACCATTTTCTGGTGGATATGGAAGGCTTAAGATGTTGGGTTTTGAACTAGGGTTGGAGCTGCTTATGTCAGAGTAAGATTTTGAATGGCTATCTCTGGCGTTTGTGTTTGGTATAAATCATCTTTATGGGTTTGGTCTAATGGAGTTAGAGGTTGTGTTTGCATTAATAATTCTATGTTTATAGGTTTGGTCTAATGGTTTCGACTGGAGGGAGCTTCATCTTTAGAAATTGCAGAAGATCAGTGTAATAGTTTTCACACATAAACTAGAGATGTAATATAATTTTATATGAGAAGACCAGTTGCTGAAGTTTAGCCCTCTTTGCTAGTATGGAAAGGAATGTGGCTAGGCTAGGTGCCCTTTGTCCTGATAAGGAAACTGTATGCTTTTTGGGTCTGAGCCTAATTCCCACCTCTACTTCCAGATACACGAAAGGCATATTTTGGAAACTCTCAAAAGTGTTTTGAGTAGTCAAAGAGTTAGGCCAACTTTTGAAACTAGTTGAGCCATCAGTTTTCTTCTTACCCGGAACGTACTTTAATCTTCAACATTAATGCGTTGGTTAGGTGGTTTCAATTACTCAGGTTGACTATAAACTCCATTAGGCACGGAAAACTGATATTGCCAACAAAGTGAAGGCATTGGGGCATTTGACCTTTAACAACCTGTAAGCTAGGTATAGAACTTAAGCTAAAATCTAAAGATAAGATTTCTGAATGATACTATGAGGCAATATCTAATTCCATGATATTCAATACCATGAACTGAAGCTTGAAAGATAGTACCTATTCTCGTGGTTGCCGCTCTTCAACCTTCCATTATTTCTGAAAGTCCAATTGCATTCTTGAGGTTGACCTGTGTGAGCCATACTGCATTGATCTTAACTCCATATCTTCACTTTCAAAGCTTAACGCACTTGCTGCATGGAGATTATCGTTAGTATCCATATATCTAACCATAAATGGAAAACATGTTGCAGAAGCATATGCATATACAGTTGATGAGTTAGATTCACATTCAGTCGGCTCATCAAATCAGTTGAAGAGATAAACTCAAGCCATAACTATTCAACTTTATATGCATATGCCACAAAGACATTTCCAAACATGATTTGAAACTTCCCTAACAGGGACATCAATTATATTTCTTTCACACCATTGCAAACAATAGAAGAAAACCAATTGAAACAAACACCGAACTGCAGTGGCTGAAGCCCAGTTCAAGCACGCATAGATCATTGCAAAGCAAAGAACACAACAAAATTCACGTAGTATTATTTATTCCTGCCGCACTTGTTCTCTACTTCTAATGCGTATATGGTATACAATTAAAATTTTCAGAGTGACAACTTCTCCAACCCATAATGAAAAATACCTGATGCCAATGCCATCTAAAAAATTACATTAAATTTCTTTCTTGTAGGTGATTATTGAACTACAGAGAGTTAAAGTAATATACATAGAGCTCGATTGAGATATTTCATGTATTCAATCAAATTAAGGCACAAAAATACACATTATTTCCCAAAAATTCTTGTCTGTCGCTCTGAATGCGAATGCTTTGCTTCTAGCTACTTTAAAACGCCAGAACTTAGCTAAGTAAATACCCACTACACAAATTTCTGATATGGACAGTCTCAAGACCTCTCCAATACATCTCCTCCAATTTTCTAGCCTCCTCTGTCCTCCCAGATCTGTAAAGACCACGAATTATGAATTTATAAGTCCATTGGTTGGGCTCATAACCCTTCTGACATATCTTATTGAAAAATTCACAAGCATGATCTATATTAGTCTTGCTTAGTTGCTCTAATAATATATTGTAAGTAAAGATGTCAGGCTGGAAGCACAGCTGAATTACTTCTTCTAAGTTTTCAATATCTTCACTCACTCTAATACCGCCAGAAACTGCTCCAATGAGCCGGCCAAGCAATGAAATCTTAGATGTCTCAATCTGCACATCTACCAACCGAATCCAGGCCTCATAGAGATCTTGAGTCTTGAAGGCATGCATCAAAAGAGTATTACCAACAAAGGATGTAATGCGGCGCCCAACTTTCTCCATGCCATTAATAACATGAATCGCCTTATCATATTTCTTAATTGAGCAAAGCAGCTTTATAAGAAGTTCATAGCATTCATTGCTTGGAACCCGTCCATCAATCTTCATTTTTTCCAAGATTTCTAATGCCATATCTGCATTAGCGACTTTGCAGAGACCAACAATCATGGTGTTGTACAATTTTATCCCGACCTTTCCTTTCTGGCCCAAATCACTGAAAAAATCTACAGCATCTGAAATTCTTTCACTCTTTAGATAACTCTGCAACATGAGAATGTTAGCACCCAAATTGGGCACATTGCCACTTTTCTGTATCATCTCATAGACTTCTTTAGCTAGGTCAGGCATTCTGGCATGCCCAGCTCCATCAATGAAGAAGTTATAAGTCAATGAATTGCTTGCATGACGAGACAACTGCATCTCCAGCAGCTGCAGGAATTGCTTTTCTGGATTTTCCGTGTCAGACAAACAACGAATAACAGCTCTGAACAATCCTCGAGTTGGTTTGTGACCCTTTTCCTGCATTTCAATAAGAAGTCTAGCAGCAATATCTGCCCTGTTGTACTTGTTAAAACCACGTATCAAACTACGGTAAGTAGCCTCAGTAGCAACTTTATTCATTCTATTGAGATCCCCATGAATCAAATAGCCATCTTCTACCCTACCAGCTCTGCATAAAGCCGATATAAACACATCATATATGGAATCACTTGGTACAAACTTTCTGTCCAAGGCAAAAATAAGCAGCTCTTTCATTTTCTCAAGCTTCCCCTGTCTGCACAAAGTACTGGCAAGTATATAAAAGGTTTTTCTACCAGGAAAAAAGCCTTGGTCAATGGAATTCTTCAACACATTATAAGCTTCATCAATACTTCCATCCCCACACAAAGTATTGATCAAAAAGTTGTAAACCATGCCACCCGGGGAGAGCCCAAACTCCGACCTTGAATTGTATAACTCAAGTGCAACATCTACCATCCCAGCTTTGCAAAAGAAGCAAAGTGCATAATTCATGGTAAAACTGTCCGGAACAATTTCATTCTCCTTCATCTCCATGAGCAAATCAAAAACCTCCATTAGACGGTTCTCACTCAAAAGCCTAGACACCAACACATTATACCGAAACACATCTGGAACATACCCTTCCAACGATTTCCTGCTGTTCAAAAACTCCAACGCTCCATCTAACCTTCCAGCCCTAGCAAGATACAAAACCCAAACACCATAAGCACGATCCAACGAGAGCAAACCCGATTCCCTAAGCTCCTCCAACAGCTTCCGCGCCTCCTCAAATTTGCCATTCTTACAAAGTGCTTTGACAACAACAGATACTGCATGGTCAGTAAACTCTACACCAGTACTCATCAGTCCACGTAAATACTCCTCCGCCTCAATCAATTGATTCTGCTTACACAAACTCTTCAACTTAATGGATCTCGTAACCTCATTCTCAAAACCCCTTAATGCAATCTGCTTAGCAATCACATCAACGGCATCAAAACACCTCTGCTCAACTAAAGCATTCAGAAGCACATGATATGCGAAACTATCCAAATCCAAACCCTGAAACCGCATTCTACCAAACACTTGCAATGCAAACTCGGGTTTCCCAGCAATCGCATACCCAAGAACCAAAGTATCATGAAATCTCACTCTATAAACGTATCTAGCATTCACAAAGTTGTCAAGAAAATCAAAAATCAAAGACCTCAGTTTCGCCTTCTTAAGGATCTTGAAAATAGCGTGAAACGTGGCGCGGGTGTGATGAAACCCAGGTTGGCGCCCAGCCCAATCGAAAAACTTAAGACAAGACAGCACATCTTTCCCATTCCTATAAGCCAAGACTTCAAGAACGAACGATTCGGAAAGGCGAAGATTCAACTGAGAGAGGGCAAAATCGGCGGCAAAACGAGAGGGCAAGTCGTCGCAGTGGTGGGCGCTTAATATCTCGAAAATTCGATCCAACATGTAGTTGTTTTGGGTCTTGAACCATTCTTTGAATGAGACAACCAGGTTTTCGGCGCTCTGTTCTTGAACTGCTGGGGCGGTTGAGTAGCTAGATATCTGATTGAACAAATGTGAATAAGGGAAAAGAGAAGAAACGAAAGTGGGGGCACTTAGAAAGCGAAGTGTGGAGAGAAAGAGCCTGGTTTTCGCTACATGTTTGAGCGAAAGCATGAGTGGTATGTTGGGAGGTTGAAGATGAAAGCGAGTCTCGGGTTGGACTTCCGTCGAACAGTTTAAGCGCAAGTGAAGATCGACGAAGACATGACGTTTGAAGTTTTTACCTAGCAAAATCTAATTCTAACTTTCAAAAGTCAGTCTTACCAGCCACCACTCAAGTTTAAAAAAGTTTAATAGATCCATCAGAACCGATATTTTGCGGTTCGATTCTGTTTCAAATTAAAAGAATCAGAACTATAACCGAAAACCAAATCTAAATTAATATAATATTAAAGAATATAGGGTTTTTTAATATTTTGTATATATATAAGAAAATTTTGGTTTTTTTATTTTAGTATCAAAAATCTTATTAATTTTCATTAAAATATCAGTTTTTCACAATATTTTTGATTAAGAAATTTATATACATTAAGACATTTACATTAAATAATAGCTTTTAAATGTTTATTATCGGTGAAAACAAACAATTAAATACTTATAATTAAGCATCAAATATCAAGTAAATATAAACAAATATATTATTTAATGTTTTGCATTTAATTGTTAGGGTGTAATTGTAATTTTATAAATGTTTATTTGTCATTTTTTTTAAAATAGGGGGATAATTGATACTTTTTAGGATACTCAGAACCAGAACCAGAACATGTTCTTGTAACACAAGTTCCAATTCCAAGTTTTTAGGAAACTAGAGCCGACAGTTCTGGTTTCAAATCAAAAGAACTGGCCGATTCTGATTCCTTTGATTTTGGGCGGGTACCGTGACCCACCCACCCCTACTCTATCTGATGGTAGTTTTGACTACTAGGGGCCCCTTTAGTACACAATTTTTCCCTACTTTATTTCCTATTCTATCTAAAATACAACATTTATTTCTTTATTCTTAAAATATTATTCTATATTATTCAATTCTTTTTAAACCCCCTAGATTTGTTAATTAACTAACACCCCCCAAAAAAATTAGAAATTGACAAAAACACCCCAGCAACCAACATTTGCCAGATTCCGGCCATCACCGTCGGAAGCTGGCCGGAATCTGGTATAATGGTGCACTACCGGCTGGATCTGGCCGGTAGTGCACCGATCTAGTCTTTTTCAACCAGATCCACGATGGATCTGGTCGGAAAAGGTCAGATCTATGATCAAATATCTGGCCATTAACGGCCAGATTTAGTCTTTGGCTATAGCCAGTCGTCAACAACGACCATATCTTTAGTCATCGTGGACGACCAAATGCGGCCAGATCTAACTGTAGATCTAGCCTTTTCTGGCCAAATCCACCGTGGATCTAACCAAAAAATGTCATAGCGACCTATGATCGGCCAGATCTAGTAGGTCGTGCGTCGATACGGAGACTTCAATCACCCTCCGGAGGTAGTGGCCGACTATCGGTATTTAATGGGTGGGTGGAGGTGTTTTTGTTAATTTTCAATATTTTATTATAGGGGTATTTAGTAAATAAACAAACCTAAAGGGTATTTTTGTTAATTTTCAAATCCTAAATCGTAATAACCACCAAATTTTACCTTTTTCAAAATATTATTCTAAAAAATATCAGAATAATCAACCAAGTGCACCCTAGACTTTTACTATTTGATTTCTTGGTTAAAGGAGGTAATTGATGATTTTTTTCCAAATCTATGGGAAGAATAGTTGATATCTCATTTCTTAGGAATTTTATGTATTTACTTAAACCTCAGGGGTCCTAAGAGAAAACTGATAACTCCAAAAATATTAGAAATATTTTATTAATGGGTCGTGCTATTCTAACATATGCTATGGTAATATAAATTCATGAGCATTGATTTATCATAACACAAATCCATTAGATTACATTGAATTAATAGCTATGAATTTGTGTCTCAAATATGTGTCAAATATTTATCTTACAATAACTTAAGCCGTTAATAGTAACTATGTGTTATTATATTAGAAAATATTCAAATAAATTCATAGATACAAATCAAAAGATTTGTTAATTATACTTGCAGAAAATAAAAACTACAAATAATTTTATGGAAAAATTTAAAATATGAAAATTAATGTTATTTATATTATTTTGTATATTTAATATATTAACTCGTGTATTATTAAAAAAAAAAAAAAAAAAACTTATTGGTTTGTTTTTATGGTTGAAACTAATCTCTTCTTTAATTGTTACATTAACTATTTATCGACTTAATTAGGGTTTTTTATTACTGTTATGTATTATAATCAATACAGATGTGGTTATTTAAATGTTAAATGACGTTGATTATCAAAAACTAATGATAAACTTATAATGTTTGATGAGTTGCTAGATTCGAACGTTACTATTTTAAATTTGAAACAATTTTAAGGAGTAATGTTTATATTTGAAAACGATTTTTGAATTCTATATTAAACGTAATCTTAAATATAAACAATTTTATGATTAACAAAAACCAATAATGATAACTCGATCTATAGGTGCCTTAACGGTAAGGGGCGTTTGAATCATATGATATTTCTGTAACGCCCCACTTGAGGTATATAGCTAATTTATGTTGCATTGCTTGAATCTTTATTGTTTTGCTATTAATTGAGTTGTTATATTGTTAATATTGTTTGGTTGGCCCTTGGTTGAAAGGATGTATTGATTTGGTTGAGTGGTTGCCCTGAAATTGTAAAGTCTTGGCGAAATCTTGATGTTACAGACTTCGCTGGAGCGAAGAATAATCTTCGCCGTGGCGACGAGGTTTGCAACCAAAGAGGTAAGTTCTGTAATTTTTCGCCAGGGCGAAGAGCCGGCTGAGTTTTGTATTGAATTTGTTAGATATTTTTCCCTAAGGGCAAATGGACCATTCTACCCCTAATTAGCAGGAAAAGTGGAGAGTAAAATGTAAGGAAATTTCATGGAGAATATGTTAGAGTGGGAGTGTGAGTGTAAGGAAGCAAAGGACAAGGATGGAATGTCTAAGAAAGAGTAAGGGCATTATGGGAATGAATGAAGATATTTTGAGCTAAAAAGGGAATAAGCTTTGTAACCCCTTCATTCTTCGTCTTCCACCGCCTCTTCCATTCTCCATTTCCTCTCAAGTTTTCCTTCAATCTTTCAAGGAGTCTAAAGGGCTTTTTGAGTGATTTTGGTAGAAAGTTAATCTAAAGCATCCTAAGGTAAGGATTCTTGCTTTAGATGTGAATTTTACCTATTAATGAGTTGAAGTCTTATAGTGTGGTCGGTTGAGATTGTAGAGAAAAGGCAAGTTACCAAAGGTAAAGAGAAGTGCTAGTAGAATCACTCCATCACAAGTAAGTAAATTTAACCAAGTTGAGATTTAAGAACTCCTTTGAGTAAAGAATTATATATGCATATGTATGCTATATTATTGAGAATTGAATTGAAATGAGTATTTGCTTTGTGGTTGTTGAATACACTTCATTTATGAGAAGTGTTGAGATTGCATGATGTGTGATGACTGAGATGAAATTAGAGGATATTGAGAAATCTGTTTAGAAGTGTTTGTCCTTGACAGGAATTATAGCTATGTGAGGGAGTTTCCTCCCATTTTGGATGGTTATAGAAAGAAGTAGAGTTATTGTTATGGTAGAGTTTTTATATGCACATGAGTTGTTTGATGAAATGCCTAAGAGAAGTATGAGCATGAATAGCAAACCTTAATTCTTGCAACATTGCATATTGGGTTAATATTGAGTGGTTCCGTGTACCCTCCATTTTTCGGGGAAACCGAAACCAAAACCGCACAATGTAGGTTCCCAAAAAAAGGAACCAGAATCGGAACCACACAATGCAGGTTCTTCAATTCAAGGAACCGGAACATGAAATACAGGTTCCGGTTCCTTTCGAGGGTACCCTATAAAAAGTCAATTACCCCCCTATTAGTTTAAAAAATGACAAAAATACCTTAAAATTTTACAAATACACCCCTAACAAATATACTATTTGGGTTTAGGGTTTAATTATAATTAATTAAATTGTTAATCATTTAATTAAGTATTGTAATATTGTTTATAATAGATGTTATAATTAATTAAGTAATCATGCCATAAATTTATAATGTAATGTTATAATTAATAAAATTCTAATCATTTAATTAAGTATTGTGTAAATTAGTAAATTAATTACTAATGTTTATAATATAATGTCATAATCAATTAAGTAATCATTTAATTATGTAATGTTATATTAATTATATGATCATACTATAATAGTATAATGTAATGTTATAATGAATTAAGTAATCATACTATAAATCTATAATTTAATATTATAATTAATTAAATTTCAAATCATTTGATTAATATACTAATGTTTATAATGGAATGTTATAATTGATTAAGTAATCATATTATAAATATATAAGGTAATGTTATAATTAATTAAATTTTTAATCGTTTAATTAAGTAATGTAATAATATAGTAAATTAGTAAATTACTAATGTTTATAATGTAATGTTATAAATTCATAACTAATTATGTAATTATGTAATCATTTAACTATGTAATGCTATAATTAAGTAAGTGATCACATTATATAATGTAATATAATAATATTATAATTTAATTGAGTAATTATTTAACTATAATGTAATGTTTAATTAATGTTTATAATGAAATGTTTATAAGGTAATGTTATAATTAATTAAATTTCTTATCATTTAATTAAGTATTGTGCTAATGTTTATATAGCAAATTAGTAATTACTAATGTTTAAAATATAATATCATAACTCATAATTAATTAAGTAATTATTTAATTATGTAATGTTATAATTAATTATATAATCATACTATAATGTAATGTTATAGTGAATTAACTATTAAATAATCATACTATAAATTTTTAATGTAATATTATAATTAATTAAATTTTTAATCATTTAATTAAGTTTGTACTAATGTTTATAATAAAGTCAATTAATTAAGTAGTAATCAATTAATGTAATGCTATAATTAATTATACTATAAATCAATTAAGTAATGTTATAAAATTATAATTAATTAAGTAATCATTTAACTATAATGTAATGTTATAATTGATTAAGTATGATATTTAACTAGTAATTAAATTTATTAATGTTTATCAATTTATCATATATAATTAATTAATTACTAATTTATTATAAATATACTTAGAACTTGATAATTGAAGTAAATAACTAAATATATTATTACTTAATCAAATATA